TGTAGATGAAGAAGTCACTAGAAATCCTAACTCCCCAAGAATCGATCGTAACTAGATAATCACACATGTGCCAAGTGCTAGTGCCCGATACTCTGCCTCTACTGACAAGCGAGAGACAACTGACTGCTTCTTGCTCTTCCAAGAGATAAGATGAGTCCCTTGAAAAGCAAAGAAACCTGTAGTAGATTGACCGTCACATGCTTTCCCATAATCTGAATCTGAATAACAGGCTAAAGAACCAGTCTGAGATCCTGATGTATAGAACAACCCAAGTCCATGACAAGACTTGAGGTACCGAAAAATATGATAAACTGCATCAAGATGAGGCTGACATGGTTTGTGCATGAACTGACTAACTCGGCTAACAGCGAATGAAATGTTTGGTCTAGTGTTGGCTAGGTAGATAAATCTACCTACCAACCTCTAATAAGCAGTTAGATCTCTCAACTCCTCACCTTCAGCAGTAAGTTTCAGGTTTGAAATCATGGGTGATGATGCCGGTTTGCACCCCAGCATTTCAATGTCTAAGAGAAGATCCAGAACATACTTTATCTGAGAAAGAACAATACATCTGCTACTACAGGCAACCTCAATCCCAAGAAAGTATTGCAAAAAATCAAGGTCCTTCACCTTGAAGGCCTTCCCAAAGTCTACCTTGACCTGCGCAGTCCCAGAATATCATCTCCAATAATGATAATATCATCAACATATACCAAAAGGATGATACACTGTCTAGAAGTATTCTGTCGAATGAAGCAAGTATGATCAGAATGATATCTAATAAACCCTAAACGTACAACTACATCAGTAAAGTGAGAGAACCAGGCTCGTGGTGACTGTTTTAGTCCATAAAGAGACATATGCAGTCGACATACCTTTCCAACATATTTCCCCTCACTACGAAAGCCCGGTGGTACATTCATATAAATAATCTCATCCAGATCACTGTGAAGAAATGCATTCTTCACATCCAACTGATGAAGAGACTAAAAGTACTCCGCAGCCAAAGAAATAATCAGTCAAACAGTAGTCAATTTTGCCATGAGGGTAAAGGTAGCACCAAAATCACGACCTGGTACCTGAGTAAAGCCCTTCGCCACAAGCCTAGTCTTGTGATGATCAATAGTACCATCCGCAAGAAACTTCAGAGTGTAAACCCAGCGACAGCCAACAGGTTTCACCCCTAAAGATAAAGAGACAAGATCTCACGTATGGTTACGCTGAAGAGCGTCCATCTCTGTCTGCATGGCAAGAACCCACTAGGGCTCTCGTATAGCCTCTGAAACAGAGCGAGGAATCGGCGTATCTGATAAAGCCATACTATAAGCCCGAAATGTAGGAGATAGATTACCATAAGAAACATAAGCAGAGATCAGGTATAAAATCCTAGCGGTCCAACCTTAACGAATAACTAGACGACAATCACGCTGCAGATAACGATGCCCTAAATCATCATCCTCCACTAACAATGTCTCATCAGGTAAAACAACTGGCTCAGTACTTGCAATCTCATCAGTACTAACAATAGGTGTATCAATATGCTTAACGAACTGATAAGTGTTACCTGCATCGCCTGAGGTAGAGGGAACATCAGCAGGGGGATGAGAGCGAGGGCGACGAACATAAACCTGTAAAGGAAGAGAGACTGGTGATTCTGTATTGACAGGGATGAATGGCTCTGGAGGAGGAGAGACCGATGACTCTGTAGTGATAGTGACTAATGGCTCTGGCTCTAGAGATAATGGAAAATCAAAGAGAGTATCATGAACTGGAGGGGTAGACATAAGATAGGAAGAAAAATAAGGAATATGCTCAAGAAAGGTAACATCTAGACTGTGATACATATGGCGCCTAATAGGATCATAACATCGATACCCCTTAGATTGATGACAATAGTCCACAAAGACACAACGAATTGCTTTATCATTAAGCTTATAACGAGTAGGAGACCGATCTTGAACAAAATATGTGCATCCAAAAACACGAGGGGGGACCGAAAAAAGTGTTCGCTCACGAAATAAGACCTATAAGGGAGCGCTATGTTGAAGAACACGACTCGGCGTACGATTGCACAAAAAGTTAGAAATCAAAAAAGCAAAATGTCAATAAGATTTTGGCACTCCCATGCCTCAAAGCATACAACATACTATCCTTATCGGACTCATATTTTTTCTTTCAGCAGCGCCATTTTGCTTAAAAGTATATGGACAAGTGAGTTACTGAAAAATACCCTGAGAAAAAAGGTGAGACACTAAGGCATCAAACACATATTTTTTGGCATTATCCGAACGAAGAGTACGAACAATGACATCGAATTGTGTTTTAATCATCTGTAAAAATTGAGTGATTATAAGGAGTACATCGGACTTCCTATGTAAAAGGTAGACTCAAGTACAATAGGTATGTTCATTTATAAATGTCGCATAATATCGGGCACCTAACAGAGCAGTAACAGGAGAGGTTCCCCAAATATCAGAGTGTATTATGTCAAATGGTTTGGGTGATTGGTGCATGCGAGGAATGTAACTGGTCCGAACATGTTTTGATAGGGAACATATAAACACAGTCAAGTTTACCACTAACACAAGCTTTGCTCAAAGCAGGAAATAACATACATAAATATTTAAAATTTGTATGCCCAAAACGGTTATGTCACAATTGAACAGTTTGTGATGAAAAATCATAACGAGTACTAGGTAAAATACTAACATGCAAGTTAGGAACAGATAAAGACAAAATAGGTGAAGGTGGAGAAACTGGTGAAACCGGAGGTGGATCGCCTAAATAATAGAGTCCATCTCTCTTATGTCCCCTAATAATAATCTTTCTGATACTCAGGTCCTACAAATAACACGAATCAAATAAGAACATAACTGCAAANTGGAGGTGAAGGTGGAGAAACTGGTGAAACTGGAGGTGTTTCGCCTAAATAATAGAGTTCATCTCTCTTATGTCCCCTAATAATAATCCTTCTGATACTCAGGTCCTACAAATAACACGAATCAAATAAGAACATAACTGCACAGTGAAAATCTCTGGTTAACTGATGTACAAATAATAGATTCATAGCTAGCTTTGGCGCATGAAACACCGAATATAATGTAAAGTCATCTGGGAGGCAGATTGTACCCCTACTAACAATAGGGGCATGTGTACCATCTGCTAACTGAACTTGAGTATGTAACTGCTCGTCAAAAGAGGTGAAATGATGGGCCTCACCTGTCATATGACCATTAGCACTCGAGTCCAGCATCCAAAGGGGAGACGGACTGACGTAAGTATGAAAGGCACAAGGTATACCTGTAATAGTCGCAACAGTAGTAGTCGAACCTTGAGAAGTCAAGGCTGACATAAGTACATTCAAGCGAGAAGTGATAACATCCATATCAATCTGCCAAGGAGGAGCAATAGCAGTAGCAGTAATAGCAGGAGTAATGATTGTAGGTGGTGGTGTCTTAGCAATGGCAGCAGTACGGCTACGAGAATGCAGCTTAAGCTCCGGATGGAGCTTCCAACAAGTAGCCCTAAGATGTCCTAGTTGGCTACAATAATCACACCGACGAGAATTCCCATATCTACGTTGATGTAGGGTACCCTGACGGGACTGTCGACCCCTTATACCCGGTGAAAGTACTAACAGATGTCTCAACAGTAGGGGTCTCAACTCTCTCAGTAGTAGTCATATCATCAATAATACTAGGGCACTCGTGACATAAAAAACAACTCTAAGATAAATAGAGAGATAAAATAAGGGAGAATAATATACCTCCAGTCGAACAGTAACGACAGATAAAGAAGGTCCAGAAAGCTTCCAAATAATCAAGGTCATAGTGCCCAGAAATCCAATAAAAAAATCCAGTAAAGATAAATAAGTGATCTACTGCATCAAAAACAGATCATCGGAGAAGAGGATCCACTGCCTCCTCAAAAAGTCCTAGGACGAAGCTACAACAAAAAAATGCGACCCAGCAGTGGGCTGCACAATGATCCAGCAGTGGGAGTTCGGTTTTATTGGGTTGCTGGGCTGATTTAATATGTCTTTCGGTTTATTGGGTTGGATTTGGGGATGGGACTGGACTGGACTGGATTTGGGACTGGACTGGGTTTGGGACTGGGCAGTGGGTTGGCTGATTTTGTCGCTGGGTTGGGTTATTATTATATGGACAGTCTGTATTGGTAGTGGTGTGTTGGTTTGTTGATGGGTTTTGTCGATGGGTTTATGGCTGTCGCTGGCAGTGTGTCGGTGGGATTGAGGATGCTGGACAGTGGTTTCTCAGCTGTCGTTGGTTCAGTGGAGTATGTTCGCTGGTCTGTGGGTTCTCGGTGGAGTAGATTCGTTGGTGAGGTGGTTATTGGTGGTGATTGGTGATGAGGGCTGCTTATTGTCGGTGAGGGTGAGGGTGAGGGAGAAGGTTAGGGTTAGGGTTAGAGTTAGGGTATGGCTCTGATACTAACTTAAAATAAATGTGAGTGAAAAAGGGATACAAACTAAGTGTAGAGCCCCCGTATATATAGCTAATGAAAATTACAATAAGGATAAAAGGGTAAAAAGGAAAACTTAATAAACCCTAATAAACTAGGCTGTTGCTATATCTCCAACAGTATCGGTACAGTTTGAATTACATCAACTCTTCTTTTTCTTGCTTATTTCAGCCCTCTTGATGAAAAATTTGTTATGTCCAGTACATGCTCTTCAACTGTATAAAAAAGATGGTGGCACCGTGGCATTATCTTCTTACCTATAGTATCCTCTAAGTTGGCTTTTGTTTCCTGTGGAAGACTTTGGAGGTTGAATATAGTTTGTACACCTTTCATTTGTTAAGAAGGCTAAGTTACTTGACAACGAGTATCGATGGGGCCTGTTTAGATGGTCCAGTAAACTTACATCATACTTAGTCTAGTCTTTACTAAGATGTAATTATATCCATTGATCTTATATTTGTAGTACGCATGTGCTTTGACTATCATGGTCAATTGTTGGTTGCTTGGTTCTGATACAGAGTAGAGTCGGACCCGTGGAATGGTTGAAACCGTACACTGATGATACAATCATTGAACTTGGACAGAAAGGAGTAAAGAGTCTACTAGCTGTCCCAATTAGGTATATACTATTGACAATTCACCATTCTGAGTTCATGCTTAACATATGTCCGACTTTTACTCTGTTAACAATAATGTCTGGTTTATATACCTAGTCATTCTTGGTTGAGTTAATTGTGTTGTGACATATGATTTGCAGTTTTGTCAGTGAACATATTGAAACACTAGAAGAAATTGATGTTGAATACAAGGAGTTGGCGCTCAAATCTGGTATAGAGAATTGGGGGCGTGTTCCTGCGCTAGGTTGCGAACCCACCTTCATTTCAGATTTGGCAGATGCAGTGATTGAAAGTCTTCCCTATGTGGGAGCAATGGCGGTCTCATATCTTGAAGCTCGACAGGTATTATTACGTACAAAATCCAAGTTACTAACCTGAGGTCAAATGCCATAAACTATCAAATGTCAGCTTAGCAGGTAAAAGTCTGGAAAGCTAATATATAAAAAGTATATTGTATATGAACATATTTGTACATTAACAACCTATTATTCATGGAGCAGGGTTATTAAAAGTAAAAATTTGCATATTATTAAACGTCTTGTATTTATCAGTTGATTCTTAATGTTACAATAATCTGGTTATATATTACTACTTCTGTCCTTGATTATGATGAAATCAAAGATGTGCAAGGAAGAATAATGGATCGGCTACAGAATTGATCAGCAGCAAAAGTTTTTAATTGACAATCAAAAAGCATTAAGTGATGGACTGTGGGCTATACAATTTATCGAGTAGCAGTTTATTTGATTGCCGGAGTTACTGTTTTTGTGTAGATAATTGGCCCTCCTTTCCATCTAAATTTAAGCAGGAATTCTGTGAATGTCCATGGGTCTTCATTTGCCACAAGGTTTATATGATTGTTCGATTTTTTGGCCCTTTATTTTCCTGAATTAATTTTCATATGCAATTCTTTGTTCAATGGTTTTCAGTATGCATTCATTTGTGCCTCTTAAATATCAATGTTTCCGCTGAAGTTCTAAATCAGTTTTAATTTTTAATTTTTAATTTTTTGATGAGAAATTGATTGAGATGGGTGAAGTTCCACTATAAAAGAAAAACACTCAGGTTAGAGACAACTGATCTCGCCAATTATAACCTAACTTAAGAAAACAAAAAAGCTTGCAGAGGCTAGTATTGCATAGATATTTAGTAATCTGGGAGCTTCTTCTGTAGGTACTTACTTATTTTCTTATATATAACAAACCCAAGAAGAGGCAGCACCTTGCAAAAGTTGCACGGTCACGTCTTACATCACTTAGCAGTCCCTAGATTAAATGCCTTTTGAGAATTTTTATGAAGCTTGAAAACCTGCCTTAATGTAATTTTCCTGACGTGCCACATGTTTTGAATAGGAAGAGTACCTATTTCGTGTGCCAAAGATGCCTCAGTGCTAAACTGTTGCCAAGAGTAGGTTCAACAAAATTTAGCTGATCGAACAATTTTTAGTGGGTAACCCAGAAGGTAGAAATGCATGAATGCCTTTCAAAATTCCTTGAAGAGTGCACCATATAAAACTCTGTAATGCTTGATCTTGAAAGAGCTCTGGGTAATCTTCCATTCATGGAATGGCATGACTGAACCTATCCTTAAAATTTGTCGTCTTCTTTTTATTCCAAAAGGACCATTGCTGTTTCTTCCAAAAGGACCATTGCTGCTTCAACAGCACCAGACAAGTGGACTTTGCATCATTCTTCTTCCCCAATGCTGACTAAGTGAGTGTCCACTGTGAACGTATGAGGATGATCCATTGTCCGACTGCCAACCAATAACCAACAAGTTTTTAAAAATCATGAATAGATGATTATCATGGTTCAGGTTCTTTATTGTGCATTTAAAGTTACAATGTTGCAATACAATAAAGCAATAATTTATTTGCAAGGAAGATGACTGTTCAATTTTCAACATCGAGGAGTCTTATGGACGAGTATGAGGTCTAAGTTCAAGTCTATACATGAAACTGCTCTATGAAATATCCTATTAAGTTTGAAATAGAAACCTAACTTGAGTTTAAAAAAAAAAAAAGGAACTTCTTTATGCCTGCTCCATAGTTTAAGCTATTTGTAAATTCAACTCATTATTTAGCATGGAGTTACCTTATTTTATTTGCGTTCCTGCACTAGTTTGATGCTTGCATTATGTATTACTACATCAAAGTCTAATTGAAGGTTGTGGGTAATGGTGTCTGCAGCCTCTGGTTCCACTTGGAAGTGTAGAAGAGTTATTGGCAGCATATGATTCCCAGCGTAGGGAACTACCACCACCTGTGATGGTTTGGGAGTGGGGTTGGACAAAAAGTGCTGAAACATGGAATGGAAGAGCGGCAATGTTGGCGGTGCTTGTTCTACTAGTCCTAGAAGTGACCACAGGAGAGGGGTTTCTGCACCAGTGGGGCATATTACCGTCATTTCGCTGACAAACATTGCAATCCTCTTCTCTCCTCATACTTTCTTTAGTCATCGAGAACCAGAGCAGAAATAGAAAGAAATTGAAATTTTGAGTCTTAGGTTCTAAATTGATGTCTGGATGGGAAAACTATAACCTGCACATTACCTAGCCGAAGACCATTGGCCTCACTATTCCACTGGCATCTGCAGTGTTTTCCTTTCAACAGTCTAGGAGTTGGACTTGATTACCTGTAACAACAAACAGTAGAGTGCAAGCAGCTTGGCCAGTTGGTTGTGCTGAGGCTCCAAAAGGGTGACAAACAGGCACAAGTGGCAAATTCAAAACTTCATTTTCTTTCTTGTATTGCTTATTTTCTCGGTGACCAGAGGCGAATTATATATTTTTCTTCTTTTTTCTTCCTTTTCCTTTTCCGTTTTAGTTTTTATTTATTGGGGCATATTTCTAAATTTCCTTTCCCACTTTTCACACCCCAACCCCCATGTATACGGTTCACACTGATATTGAGTTGTAATATTTACGAATCTGCTATGAAGGAAAAAATAACAAAAAGAGAATATATGTTTTGTTCTGTCTTTTTTCTTTTCCTTTTTTTTTTTAATCATTTTAGTTCATCTCCATTTTTAATATGTTTTTAAGTGCTGTTGATTCACGAGTATTACAGGGAATGTGCTCCACATTTTTGTGACTCTTATACTCTGTTTGGTAGGAAGAAGGTTGGAAGGTAGCAATGATGCACTTTCTATCCTTCAAGGATGAAAAGTAGGAATAATATATTTTCTTTCATTTGTGTTCGTGTTTGGTTGGATGGATAGAAAATAAAAATGATTAATTTTTTTTTTTGTGATGGCTAAGATTAGGGTTGACAATTGAATCGTGTTGTATTAGATTCTTGTTGAGTTATAAAATTATAAGTCTTTTTATATTTTTTGTTCGCGTGTTTGGTTATTTTTAAGTTCGTGTTGAGTTATAATTAAGTTTGTGTCATAAAATTTGTGTTGAGTTCGAGTCGTGTTGAGTCGAAAATTTTCACCTCTAGTTAAGATGAAAAAAATATTTTTTTTAATTTAATTTTTTTTAATATATATATATATATATAAATACGTATTTTATTATTATATTTTTATATGAAATTAATGTATACATAATATATATAGACAAATAAGATATATTTTAACACAAATAATTAATTTTTTATCTACTTTTCTTCTGATTTTGGAGAGATTGGTTTTGGTGAGTTGGAAAAAAAGGTAACTCTTCCACTTTTTCATTCTTCTTACTTTTTTTTTTCTTACTAAATATAATATTTTATCTATTCCCCTAATTTTCAACCCTTTCATTTTTTCACGGAGCGTTAAGATTTTCTAAATATTAAAACTTGTTTTGAAAACATAATTTGAGTTATGCATTGGATTCTTTTTCAATTTCCTTTAAACGCCCCCGACCCTGTAGTGACAGGTTCTCTACTAGACTACTCTTCTCATATGGTCTTGAACATTTATGTCTTTTCCCGACATTTTTGCTTTGTTTGCTTAAATTCTTGGTGTCAGTGAAGGGTATGAGGTTTTCATTGTTTCAGAGTAAAAATATTAGTCTATTTACAGGCGTGTCAAAGCTCGAAATTAACCAAACTCAGATCCTATGGTTTGGTTATATACAGACCTAAGCTGTTGTTGGCTGCCAATCTTGTACACGACTCAGAGGAGGCATGTAATGTCTCTCTTCACGGTGGTCAAAACTCCCTTTAAGCTTTAAAGGACTTTCGGAGAATTGCTATCAAACTATTCAAAAATTTGCATAAAAGAAAGATGTAAAGTTTAGGGAGAATCGTACTTTTATATATAGAAAGATTTAAGAATTTTTATTTTATACATTCAAAGATTAATTTTTTCATATTTTATCATTAATGTATTAAAAGTATTACATTGATCCCTCTGTTAAATTTTGTTATTTTTTTCATTAGTGTCAATGGCGTGTTTTTTGACAGAAATAATCNTACTTTTATATATAGAAAGATTTAAGAATTTTTATTTTATACATTCAAAGATTAATTTTTCATATTTTATCATTAATGTATTAAAAGTATTACATTGATCCCTCTGTTAAATTTTGTTATTTTTTTCATTAGTGTCAATGGCGTGTTTTTTGACAGAAATAATCACAAAAATTAACAAAAGAGTTACATTACAACACATTTTGATATATTAAGGGCATAATGTGATAAATTTTATCTTTAAAGATNTGTGTTTTTTGACAGAAAAAATCACAAAAATTAACAAAAGAGTTACGTTACAACACATTTTGATATATTAAGGGCATAATGTGATAAATTTTATCTTTAAAGATATAAAATAAATTTTTTTAAATCTTTTAGGGTGTAAAGTATAATTCACCCTAAACTTTAATCAAGATACAAAAGTTGCATTTTTCAGTAATGTTTGTAATAATGTGATATAAGTTCAATAATGTTACGATGATTATAATTATTAGATTTTTTTTATTGGATCTTTATCACTTGACATATACTATTATATCAATAAATTAAATTAATTTTTTAAATCTCAATAATATTACTTAAGGAAAGGGAAAAAAAAAAAGCTAACCCCTTAAAACTCGTTATTTCCCACAAACGAATTACTATTCTCATCATATTCCACATTCAACCGGTCATTGATTAAGTACATTGAAGTGCAGGACTTGTTCGACACATATGATTTACAAATTTCACCGTGCTCTTCATTTTACTCTTTATTCAAAAGAAAAAAAAAGTTAATTGTATTTACGATTTTCAAAGTATAGTGTTATTTTTATTTTTATTTTTAATATTTTAATTATATTATTTTAATCTTTAAAATATTAAATTTACTTTTATGTGCAAGATATAATTTTTCCTTCTTTCAAGATGAAAAAGAGAAGTAGGCAAAAGTCGTATCATTGAGCTTTGCCTCACGACGAGCGTTTGGAGCTCGGCTTACAGCAAGTAACATGATCTGAACGACAGAGAGAGAGAGAGAGAGAATGGATTTGGAGTCAGTGAAGACGTTTTTGGAGAAAGGAAGCCCCAATGATTCATCAGTCATCGATTCCATGCCTTACAGATTCTTCGAGTCCTTCGTAATTCAAGGCTTAAAGGTCGATCTCATCGAACCCGGACGGATTATCTGCTCCATGAAAATACCCACTCGTTTACTGGTATTTCCGCAACCATCTCTACCGTTATCTCTCTTTCTCTCTCTCAATTGACAACTGGGTATTGTTTTTTCTGCTTAAAGAATTCTGGGAATTCATTGCATGGCGGGGCAACGGCGATGCTCGTGGACGTGATGGGTTCGGCTGTCATTTACACTGTTGGAGCTTCGATGACCGGAGTTTCAGTTGAGATCAATGTCTCATACATGGATGCTGCTTACGCTGGAGTATGTATATATATCTCTATTCCCTTATCATGATCATTTGTTGCAATAAGTATTTCTTCTGTCTATCTAAGTACTTTTGTTTTTGTGGTCTTTGTTTCATAAAACAAATTGGGTTGTTGTTTAACTGCTGATTGAATTTTGCAGTACAGAAATATAATGATACCCATCAGACGAATCTGTATGTGTGTATGCGTGAACGAGAGTAAGGCTTTCCCCCCGAGAGAACGGACTGACTACTAGGAGGGGGAAGGACCCTCGCCTAGCTAACGGAGTTCACGAGGAACCGACTTCAGTTAGTGAAGCGAGGCCTCAAACATCAAACCATATCTTACTGAATAATCTGACTGAACCGAGTCCCTGTCAACTTTGAAACCAGCCTAGGCTTGGATTGGCCAGCCGGCGGATAGGCAGCCTCACCTGCCCTGGAAAGCAGATGGAGGGAGAGATCAAACTGTCAGCTGTGCCATTAGGAGCCCTTTCCCACTTATTGTTTGGGGAGAACAGCCAGTCAGAAGGTAGAGCCTTTACAGGGGGTATATCTGATGATGGAATCCGTGATAACTGATGTCAACATCGGGAAGTGGAGTTCTGGGGCTTGGATTTCCCTTTCATCATTTAACTACTAAGCAAAATAGGCCAACTACAGGCACTAAGGTCAATGAAGTACGTGNTTTCTGGTACTCCTCCCTTTTTTTGTTGGGAATTGGTCCAAGGTTTGGTTGTTCTGGCCTTGCCATCGAAGGTTTCAGAAATGCTTTAGTTACGCTCATCGCATGATTAGGATCAATCAGAACAGCCTCACCTGCCCTGGAAAGCAGATGGAGGGAGAGATCAAACTGTCAGCTGTGCCATTAGGAGCCCTTTCCCACTTATTGTTTGGGGAGAACAGCCAGTCAGAAGGTAGAGCCTTTACAGGGGGTATATCTGATGATGGAATCTCGGCCCCGTCGTTTGGCTTCCACTCCAGTTGACCTCTCTTGTTTCCATCCCCCCGTGAGAAGGTAGAGAGCAAAACCAACCCAGCAAACCACTATTACTATGCCCCTATTATTTTTCAAATCATAATCTTTCAGAAGCTGGCACCGCTAGTTGACTCCTCCTTGTCGACAGCCAGTCGGTAGTTGGGCACTGGATCCCTTCGGACCTGGAGAACGTGTGACGCTGGGTTGGGGTTTGGTGAACCAACCGTCTGATTTGGCCTGCCATTGCTTACCATATTGCTAAAAAGTGGGTAACAAAGAAGCTCCAAGTAATTTTTCTATAGGCTTCAAAGCTTAGGCTTATTCTGAAATTACAGAAGCGGCCCCCAAATTTTTAGAAATTACAGAAACAGATCAGAATTTTTTACAATTACAGAATCATCCCCCTAATTTTCTACATTTTCAGCATCGACCCCAAATTTTCAAGTTACTTTAATCCTTAATTAAGATTGACCTCTGTCGGTATACATATGATTATAGCAAAAGGGAATTCAGCAATTACATCATATGTGGATGCTTTATCTGTTTCATCTCCTATAGGTTTGTCTTCTTTGACTCTTTTAGGTATATTTCATTCCACTTGGATATTTGATTTTGGTGCTACACATCACATGACTAATGATCCATTTTTGTTTCTTTCCATTTCATCTCTTCGCTCCTCGATTGCTAATGGTACTCCAATGTCATTGGCAGGCATTGGATCTATGATGGCTTCACTTTTATCTCTTCCTAATGTTTATTTTATTCTTCAATTATCTTTGAACTTGATTTCTGTTAGTCAAATATGTAATCTTGTTCTCATTGTTTATTTTTTCTCCGGTGGTTGTATCGCGCTGGATCCTCATTCTAAGAAATTGATTGGGACATGTCGTAGAGTTGTACGATTGTATGTACTAGAAAAATTGCATATTCCGGTTATGGTTGCTTCTTCTGTTGATTTGTCTTCTTTCATTTGAGTCCTAAGTCCTCTAGGTTTTACTTATGGCATTCTCGTCTTGGGCACATTTTTACTTCTCATTTAAAATTTTTAATTTCTATTGGTACATTAGGTGATATAAATAGTCATGATATTTCTAATTGTAGTGGTTACAAACTTGCTAAATTCTCAACTTTACTCTTTAAGAATAGTTCTACTTCTTCTTTTGTTTCTTTTGATTTTGTGCATTCTGATGAGTAGAGTCTCGCCCCTATTACCATAAAAGGGGGTCTCGGTATTATGTTTCTTTTATTGATGATTATACTTGATATTTTTGTATTTATCTTATGAAAAAGTGATCTAAATTTTTCTCAATTTATTCTTCTTTTCGTGCCATGATTTGTACACAATATTCTTCATTCATTAAATGTTTTTGTTGTGATTAAGGTGGGGAATACAGGCACAATCATTTTCTTGACTTATTAAAATTTGATGGTACTATTCAGCATTCCTCTTGTGCAAACACTCCTGAGCAGAATGGTGTGGTTGAGCAAAAACACTAGCACATCATGGAGACTGCTCGTTCATTGCTCTTATCTGCGTCAATTCCCACTTTCATTTGGGGAGAGGTTGTTCTCACTGTTGTTTATCTCATTAATCAGATTCCTTCTATTATTATTTCTAGTGTTTTACCTTTTGAGCGGTTATGTGGTATACCTTATAACTATTTTTCTTTGTGTGTCTTTGGTTGTACTTGTTTTACACTTCATTCGAAAGTTGAACACAATAAATTATCTGCTTGTTCTGTTATGTGTATCTTTCTTGGTTATGGTGAGAGACAAAAAAGGATATAGTTGTTCTGATCCTATTGCCAGAAGATTATATGTATCTAGGCATGTGGTCTTTCTTAAACATATTCCTTTCTTTTTCATTCCTTCTGTTTCTAACTCCTTCAACAGATCTGACTTATATATATCAACCCCTTTCTTGATGATACTTCTAGTGATTCTAATAATTATAGCATACTCACTTCTGATATTCATTCTTCGTCTCATTCTCCAGTGGTGCCCCTCGTATTATTCACACTTACTTTCGCAGGAACAAGACTAATTCACATGCAGGTATAACTCCTTTACCTCTTTTAGTTGCCTCTCCATTGTCCTCTAATGATTTGGATCCTTCCTCTCTTTATCATAAGCACATTCGTAAGTGTCCTATTTGCTTTGGTTTTTCTAACAATTGTAATTCTTTTGATTTTTGTTCATNTCCTCTCTTTATCATAAGCACATTCGTAAGTGTCCTATTTGCTTTGGTTTTTCTAACAATTGTAATTCTTTTGATTTTTGTTCATTTTATCTTCCATTCATTTTTTGTTTGAGCCTATCTCTTATAAGGAAGTTGCTCTTGATCCTCTTTGGTAGCAGACTATAAATAAAGAACTTTTTGCAGTGCATAAAACTGAACATGGGATCTTGTGCCTTTACCTATTAGTAAGCATGTTGTTGGTTGTCGATAGTTATACAAGATTAAAACCCAAAGCGGATGGTTCTGTTGAAAAATATAAAGTCATATTGGTTGCTAAGGGAGTTGCACAGGAATATTGCATTGATTATGAGGAGATATTTGCTGTTGTTGCAAAGATGACTACTATTCGTAATCTAATTGTTGAAGTAGCTGTTCGCCAGTAAAAACTCTCAGATGGATGTCAAGAATACTTTTTTGAATAGTAAATTGGCAAAAGAGGTTTATGTGGTTCTTCCTGGTCTCCCTCACAATCCAGGTGAGGTATGTAAACTTAGAAAAACTTTGTATGGTCTTAAACAGGCTCTTCGGCCTTGATTTGAAAAGTTATCTATTTTGATCTTTAACTTGGGTTTTCGTTTAAGTGATTATGATTCTGCTATTTTCCTGCATTCTACTTCTACTGGTCAGATTGTTCTTATCTTATATGTTGATAATATGATTATTAGTGGGGATGATTCTCATAGCATTTTAGTCTTGAAGGCTCAGTTACAACAGCAATTTGAGATGCAGTATCGTGGTCTCCTTCGATATTTTTTGGGTATTGAAGTGACTTCATCCCCGAAAGGTTATCTTCTTTATTANCTCAGTTACAACAGCAATTTGAGATGCAGTATCGTGGTCTCCTTCGATATTTTTTGTGTATTGAAGTGACTTCATCCCCGAAAGGTTATCTTCTTTATTAGTCAAAATATGTTATTGATATTATCCACAAAGTCCGTTTAACAAATTCTTGGACTGTTGAGACTCCTCTCGAGCTTGATGTGCACTACGCTTCTACTGAATGGTGCCCCTTTGGCTGATTCAACCTTGTATTGNTAGTCAAAATATGTTATTGATATTATCCACAAAGTCCGTTTAACAAATTCTTGGACAGTTGAGACTCCTCTCGAGCTTGATGTGCACTACGCTTCTACTGAATGGGCCCCTTTGGCTGATTCAACCTTGTATTGAGTTCTTGTCAGCAACCTAGTCTATCTCACAGTTACACAACTTGCATATGTCGTTCATGTTGTGGGTCAATTTGTCTCTTCTCCAACTACAGTGCACTGGGCTACGACTCTTCACATTTTATGTTATCTTAGAGGCACTTTACATCAAAATTTGTTATTTGCTTCCACTTCTACTATGGAGTTTCATGCTCTTTTTAATCCTGATTGGGCAGGTGATGTCATGGATCGTAAATCCATCATTGGTTTCTATGTCTTTTTGGGTGATTCTCTTATTTTCTGGGAGAGCAAGAAATAGATCATTATCGCTCGTTCTAAAATTAAGACTGAGTTAAGGATCAAAATTTTGTTTAGGTGTATTGTTTCGGTCACGTAGGAAACAAAAACATTTCAACGTGTTTCGGAAACGTTTAGACCCATTTTTGAAATAAAATAAAAAAAAAATTAAGAATTATTTTTCAAAACATTGGTCGAAATATACCAAAATATCTTGAAATTCCTTGAAACATTCTGAAATAATTGTGCAAATGTATTAAAATATAATTTAAAATTTTAAAATATTATGGAATATCTTGAAGGATTAGAATTTCGATTCTATTACTGATTCATTTCGGATGTTTCAACCGTTTCGAAACGAAATTTTGATCATTGGACTGAGTATTGTGCTATGACTATTTCTACGTTAGAGATAATTTGGGTTAGATGGTTGCTTGCCGATCAAGGTGTTTCCTTTTCTAGTCCTACTCGTATGTATTGTGATAACAAAAGTGTCATTTAGATTGCACACAACTCTATTTTTCATGAGCGAACCAAGTATATCAAGATCAACTATCACTTTGTGCATCATCGTGTTCAGCTTGGGATTATTTCTTTGCCTTTTGTTTCTTCTACTATACAGTTAGCTTACCATGCCGTGTTTTTGTTTAATTCTTGGCAAACTCTTGATAATTCCTACAGGTCACATCATGAATTTGAAAGGGAGTGTTAAAAGTGTAATTATATTTATTTATCATTAAGGGTAGAGTTCCTTATATATTGTCTCTTGTACTCACTTTTCGTTATTATGGAATATTAGAGTGTCGCATATATTTTTTCTCTTCTTCTATCCTCTCTATGTGTGAACTCTTTTGTTTGCACTAGTTGATCTATGTTTTCAATGAATACATTGGTAGAACATTCACTGAAAACAATAGTTCATATATACACAAGCCCATACTAAATTGATGTCACATCATAATATTCTACCACACTTTTGTAGCCGACGTCCACAATAGTCCACTTTATCAACACTGTTCTTTCCTTCTGAAGGTTCCACTCACTAATCAGTATTCAAGAAGATAGCACTATAGACATGCATGATACCTAGTTATTTTAATCCAACTATAGGTCGATTCTTTCATGACTCGACCACTGAAATCCGTAGCCCATTATGTGTTTGATCCCATACTCGATGTGGTAGGTGGCTCTAATACTAATTGTTAAGAACTAATTGATAAAACTCACTCCTGAGAAAACAACTTGCAAGAAAAGAGTGCTCAATAGTTCATACACACATACATATAAGCTCATACTGAACTGATGTGGAATCGTAACAAATGAATTGGCTTGTTTAGATTACTCAAACGTGGCAATGTTGGATCTGAAGAATGTGGGGCTTTAGTGAATTGCGGGTTACATTGCTTGGTAATTATTGTGTACTTGGACTTTCTAGATACAAAAGTTTTTAGCAAATTTTGTACAGATAATTGAATTAATATTAACTATTCACAGGTTTTAAATTTCTTTATGGAGATGATTCATTTTTCTGGCCTAGGGGAAGATGAGGCGTTGGGTTAAAGTCTCCATTTTTGAAATGGCAACTTATAGACTGATTTTCATATTAGAAGTAAAAGAAAAGGGCCACTTAGAAACCTTTGGGGGGTGAAAAAGGACTATGATTAACCATCAAGGAGAGTTGGAACTTGGAATAGATGTAGATAGGAAGGCTCATAACGTAATGGTGACATGGGTGCCTGGTGCTTAGTATACATGATGCAGCATTAGCAGACGGCTATTGGCTGTTGATTAACTGAATTTTAATATTGGTGACTTTAACAAGGTAAAAGTGCCTCCTAAAATGATGCAGGCTATGAAAATGGTTGAATTATCCTTATTTTCTGGGTCAATAAGCTGCTATATAATTTTATGTGTTTAATTAGGTTTCAGGACTTGAGATTATTTTTAAAGTATTGAATTTGCAAGAAACTGACTGTAATGGTGCTAGATCGATCATAAGTCGGATTGAATTATTTTGGATGCTGTATAGAAGCTTTAGTTGTCAAAAAAAATTAAACGTTTTAGATTTGATGAGTCTTCTAAGAAGGAATCTAGTGGCACGCAAACATCTTTGTAATCTTCTCTCTTTGGTGAAGAGTTAAATTCCAAGGATTATGTATGTATTATGTGGTTAAATTCCAAACATTGATTGATTGTCCCAAAATTTGGTGTGCAATGGACTAAGTTCCAACCATGTAGTAACTCTCTATAAACTCAGATCATAAAGGCTATATGTACCATTAAAAGCTGGTGTACACAGACGAGCCTTTTACTCGCACTGGCAAGAAGTTCAGCTTAGGGTTTGTAGTGCAGCACTTGGTACATTTGTCAACCCTAGAGTGCATCCTTATAGGTTACGAAACAGCCAAATTTATGAATTATAGTTGGTAGCCTTATTGCCTGGGAACTGTGATCTATTCAATGGACTGCCTAAGAACTAAGCAGTTCCTGAGTCCGACGTTAGTGTTTGGTCTAATGTCTGGTGTAAGCATATAACTAGAGTACAATAGAAAAGTTTTGCCTCTTTCTGCATCTCTACATGTGAACTAAATCTGTCTCAGCTAGGTCATTAAGTGCTTATACGCATTTTCGTCTGTGACCAAATCAAGTGCCACTTTATTGACTCAAAAGAGTCAGCCGTGCCCGTTGATTCTTGTGCCATCAGCTCATACATTAGCCCATACAGTACATCACTACAAGTCATGCCCAGCTTATGTCATTCCTGGTTTTTGCCGATGTCATTCCTGGTTTTGTCATACTTGGTCCTTGTTCCACACCCTCCCCTAGCCATGGTTAAAACTCGAGACAATCCAACGCTTGAACTTGGCCAATAGCATTAGGCAATATTGTTTTAAAATGCACAAAAGCTATCTTGGCCAAAGCAAACTCAAGTATACATTCTTGTGCTCCAGCAAAGGGGGTAGTTGTATGCCCTTCCTATACATGTGTGTAAAAATTCCAAGTGACAAGACTAGGAATCAAGATGTCTAAGCATACATAAAGAATATAGTTGTTCTGGTTGCTGACTTCACAACTGATTGGAATGAGCTGGTGTTTGTTACTGACAAGCTGCCCTGGCGGTGGCGAACCCAGTCCAGTCATTTGTGGCGGGGGCGGACAAATTGTGGGCAGCCCTTCCAATGTATGCTTATACAGAAAAATTCCCAGTGACAAAACCGGACCTCAAATTCCGAAGCCATTATAATGACATTAGTCCTATGCTTGTTCACATAGATTTGCTGCACACCAAGTGTGCACCAGGGCGCATTTCTGGACTGAAAAGTCAAACTGTGCGCATCACAGATGCACTGGCTACGTTACAGCTACACCAGCANACATTAGTCCTATGCTTGTTCACATAGATTTGCTGCACACCAAGTGTGCACCAGGGGGTTGCGCATTTCTGGAANCTGGACTGAAAAGTCAAACTGTGCGCATCACAGATGCACTGGCTACGTTACAGCTACACCAGCACTCACCCACATATTGCTGCACCTGCATCAGAACTGCACACCACCACCTACTACGACAAAGATACATAGCTACACCATTGCATGCCAAACAGTCTTGTCCCTCGTTTAGCACAGACAGAGTGTGGGGAAGAAGACAACCCTGGGTGGGGGGTGAGTGGGCACTGATCAGGGATGGGAGCGGTGGAGGGGACAGATCGGGATGGAGCTCTCTCCCCCTCTCTCTCTGTGTAATTATATATACACATATATGGTTATGGGTTAACACTGTTGGGCCGGCAACACTGATGGAGGGTCAGAAAATGCACAAGATCTTTGCGTAATTAAAATTAAAAACAATCNTCTCTCCCCCTCTCTCTCTGTGTAATTATATATACACATATATGGTTATGGGTTAATACTGTTGGGCCGGCAACACTGATGGAGGGTCAGAAAATGCACAAGATCTTTGCGTAATTAAAATTAAAAACAATCTACAGGGTGTGACTGAAAGTTGTCCTTTGTAAAATATTTGGTTTGTCCTCCTTTCAACCATAAGACTTGGCCAAAACATTTTCATAAGACAGCATACAAATTAAAAGTTTTTGGTATTCATTCTCTAAGATCTGACCATTAATTCTCTTGATAAAAGCCTCAGTGTGCTATCAAAGTTGTTGTTTTCCCCTCTTTTTTGACTTGAGGCTTAAATAGTCATGTGAAACATCTTTACAAATCACAAGCATGATTGCAAAATCTCAGTTTGGGCTAATTGAAGATGGAAACTCTTGGCCCGTGATAAGTAGTTTGGAGTAAATTACTCATTATATAGTTTTTTTGACCCTTGATTAAGTTTGCTTACTAATAAAAACTCTTTTAAATATGAATATAGTTCATCATCTTTCAATTTGAATGCTTCCCTCTGCTCAAAAGAGCCAGCTTCTCCACCTTTCCTGTCTTGTGATTTTATGATAAGGCTGAAACTCTGGCTAGTGACTGCACAGTATCAATGAATTGTAATCAGTTTCACGCTGCTTTGCCTTTTATGAATTTAACTAGTGATTAGACTCGTTTATGTTGCATGTCAGTTGAGTGGTTTAGCTTTGTGAAATTTTAAATGGGCACTCAAAGTAGAACCCTTTGAGAATTTTCTTTTTCCTTGATTATCAGTATTTTCTTGTTGGGGATGTTTGTTGTCATCTTGCATAATGATCTGTTGCTCTTTTAAGTAATTTGTGGTATTTCATAAACTCTTGATGGTTTTTAATGATATTTTTCGCCCTTTTTAGTCGTCTGAACTAGGTGATTTTTTCAATGTTTCTTTCCCGGTTTCTTCATTTCAGTCTTACGTGGTCCATTTAGGCAAATATGAATGTGCAACCTTTCATGAACACTTAACGTTTGTTTAGGATGAAATTGAGATAGAGTCCAAGGCATTACGAGTCGGAAAGGCTATTGCTGTTGTCAGCGTGGAGCTGAGGAAGAAAAAGACGGGGAAAATAATTGCTCAAGGGCGTCATATAAAGTATTTACCTGTTTCTAGTAAGCTGTGAACAACCTATTGTTGTGTAGCTTACAGCAAAGTGTTCATTGGGATTACCCTGCAGTTGCAGTTCCTTATTCAAAACATGGTGAGGTACTCTGTGTAGGTGACAATGTTTTCTTTTTTGGAAAGATGTAATAATGTTTTCTGCATTTGGATTACCCACCAAACGCAAGAATGGAATGGATGTGAAAAAAACTGTGGTATGGCTTGCTACAGAAACTTAGCACTGTTATCGTTTGTGATGAAGCAGCANTACTCTGTGTAGGTGACAATGTTTTCTTTTTTGGAAAGATGTAATAATGTTTTCTGCATTTGGATTACCCACCAAACGCAAGAATGGAATGGATGTGAAAAAAACTGTGGTATGTTTTGCTACAGAAACTTAGCACTGTTATCGTTTGTGATGAAGCAGCACTGTGCCTATCGTTTGTGATATTTATTACAAATATTTGTGATATATCTATATAATAAATCAGCTAGTCAAGTTGAATTTTTATCTCCTATATATTTTTTTCCAAAAAAATATCACATCACCTAATTTTCTCACATGTTTAATCATTTAATATTTAGTTAATTTGTAGTTTAACACAACTTTTATTTCATATATTATTCATACACGATAGTATACACATGTTGAAAAGAATTTATTGAGTTATGTATTTTAAGAAAATTTTGAAGCTAATTTTTAGAAAATAATATGTATAAATTAATTTAAAATTTGGTATAGTATGATCGATTTTTTGAATGGTAGNAAGCCTCAGTGTGCTATCAAAGTTGTTGTTTTCCCCTCTTTTTTGACTTGAGGCTTAAATAGTCATGTGAAACATCTTTACAAATCACAAGCATGATTGCAAAATCTCAGTTTGGGCTAATTGAAGATGGAAACTCTTGGCCCGTGATAAGTAGTTTGGAGTAAATTACTCATTATATAGTTTTTTTGACCCTTGATTAAGTTTGCTTACTAATAAAAACTCTTTTAAATATGAATATAGTTCATCATCTTTCAATTTGAATGCTTCCCTCTGCTCAAAAGAGCCAGCTGCTCCACCTTTCCTGTCTTGTGATTTTATGATAAGGCTGAAACTCTGGCTAGTGACTGCACAGTATCAATGAATTGTAATCAGTTTCACGCTGGTTTGCCTTTTATGAATTTAACTAGTGATTAGACTCGTTTATGTTGCATGTAAGTTGAGTGGTTTAGCTTTGTGAAATTTTAAATGGGCACTCAAAGTAGAACCCTTTGAGAATTTTCTTTTTCCTTGATNTTTTTTTTTTGGGATGATTAAAAATTCAAACTCTAGGTGTTTTATTATATAGATATAGGTGAACATTAAAATACATTTATTAACAGTTTAATTTTTGATTAATAGTTTAGGGTTAATCACAAATTGTACCCCAAAAGATCTCTTAAATCTCAATTTATATTTTTAAAGATAAAAAATTTCAATTTATACTTTCAAAGATAAAAAATCTCAATTCATACCCTAAAAAATATAGATTTATATCAATGTATACTTGAACATAACATCCGTCTAAAACTAATTGTCTAAGTTATACTTAGATCCCCTCAATTTTATCACTTAATTATTTAAACTCTCTCACATTCANTAGTTTAGGGTTAATCACAAATTGTACCCCAAAAGATCTCTTAAATCTCAATTTATATTTTTAAAGATAAAAAATTTCAATTTATACTTTCAAAAATAAAAAATCTCAATTCATACCCTCAAAAATATAGATTTATATCAATGTATACTTGAACATAACATCCGTCTAAAACTAATTGTCTAAGTTATACTTAGATCTCCTCAATTTTATCACTTAATTATTTAAACCCTCTCACATTTAAAATATTACTCTTATACCTCTTGACGTTTATACACATATAACACGTAATCTTTTGTCATTGATATTTGTTAATATAACTATTAAAAAACATAATTTCATCCTAATAAAAAATTATAATTTTTATACCATCCTCTATTTTGTGGGCATGTTATACTCTAAAGTTCAAAACCAAACTTACTATTTGAATATCTAATATAATATAAGTATTTATATAATGTTTTATATATCCAATGCAATAAGTCACTTGAATAGAATTATTCGGATGCTCAATTGGAGAAACATTTTAGTCATATTTGCACTATCAGGGATGTAGGTATAATATTTTAAATATAAAAGCTCTAAATAATCAAGTGAGAAGTATGAAGAGATCTATGTGTAATTTATGAATTAATTTAGTTTTAGACAGCAAACTAACGACTGATAGTTTCAGTTACGCATTAACACATATTTATATTTTTGAGGGTACAAATTAAAATTTTTTATCTTTNATATCTAATATAATATAAGTATTTATATAATGTTTTATATATCCAATGCAATAAGTTACTTGAATAGAATTATTTGGATGCTCAATTGGAGAAATATTTTAGTCATATTTGCACTATCAGGGATGTAGGTATAATATTTTAAATATAAAGGCTCTAAATAATCAAGTGAGAACTATGAAGAGATCTATGTGTAATTTATAAATTAATTTAGTTTTAGACAGCAAACTAACGACTGATAGTTTCAGCTACGCATTAACACAGATTTATATTTTTGAGGGTACAAATTAAAATTTTTTATCTTTGATGATGTAAAATAATATTCGAATGATCTTTTGAGGTGTAATTTGTGATTAAGACAATAATTTATGTATAAATAGAGTGAATTTAGTTTTATCGGGGTGAATTTAATATTTTAAAATTAAAAAATTAATTAAGATAAAAAAAATATTTAAGAGGTCAGAAATATAGTGGTCGAGATTGAGTCCGCGGGCATCTGGAGCTCGGTTAGGAACAAGTACCACATAGTCTGAGTAGAGAGAGAGAGAGAGAGAGAGAGAGAGAGAATGGATTTGGACTCGGTGAAGAGGTTTTTGGAGAAAGGAAGCCCCAATGATTCATCAGTCATCGATTCCATGCCTTACCGATTTTTTGAGCCCTTCGTAATTCAAGGCTTAAAGGTCGATCTCATCGAACCCGGACATATTATCTGCTCCATGAAAATACCCACTCGTTTACTGGTACATTCGCAACCACCTCTCTCTCTCTCTCTCTCTCTCTCTCTCTCTCTCTCTCCGTCTCTCTCTCTTTCTCTCACCCTCAATTGACAACTGGGTATCGTTTTGTTTCTCTACTTAAAGAATTCTGGGAATTCATTGCATGGCGGGGCAACGGCAATGCTGGTGGACGTGGTGGGTTCGGCTGTCATTTACACTGTTGGAGCTCCGATGACCGGAGTTTCAGTTGAGATCAATGTCTCATACATGGATGCTGCTTACGCTGGAGTATGTATATATATCTCTATTCCCTTATCATAATCATTTGTTGCAATAAGTATATCTTCTGTCAATCAAGTCCTTTTGTTTTTGTGGTCTTTGTTTCATTAAACAAATTGGGTTGGTGTTTAATTGCTGTTTGAATTTTGCAATACAGAAATACAATGATTCGCATCAGACGTATGTGTGTGTCTGATTTGGCCTGCCATTGCTTACCATATTTCTACAAAGTGGGCAACAAAGAAGTTCCTAAGCAATTTTTCTATAGGCTTCAAAGTTTAGGCTTATGCTTGAGGAATGAAAACCCGAAATAGTTATGTCAAAATTGCACTTTGTATTTANAACAAAGAAGTTCCTAAGCAATTTTTCTATAGGCTTCAAAGTTTAGGCTTATGCTTAAGGAATGAAAACCCGAAATAGTTATGTCAAAATTGCACTTTGTATTGATATCTGCTGATGTTTGGCTGCAGCTTTTTCTAGGCATGAAATCATTTCAATGTCGTCTGGAAATCATTTTGTTTATTATGGTAAACTTAGTTTGTGATTTGATACTGCTAAATATCATTTATCATTAGGATGATGTTATGAATACATGGGTACAACTTGTACCGAAAATAAGAGTTCATATATATACACGCCCATACTAAACCGATGTCAAATCATAATATTTCACCACGATTTTTGTAGCCGACATCCTCAATAATCCACTTTATCGACACTGATATAATGGTAGCCCTTTCTTTTTAGAGGCTCTGTTCATTAATTAGTATTCAATAAGATAGCATTATACACATGCATGATACCGAGTTATTTTAATCTAACCTATAGATCAATACTTCCATGACTCGACCACATAAACCCATAGCCCATTATGCGTTTGATCACATACTCTGTGGTGACTGGCTCTAATAGTAATTGTTATGAACTCATTGATAGAACTAACCCCTGAAAAATCAACTTGCAAAGAAAGAGTGCTCAAGGATTAATATACATTATACCCTCATATAAGCTCATACTGAACCGTGGGATCGTAACAAATGAATTGGCTTGTTTAGATTACTCAAACGTGGCAGTGTAGAATCTGAAGAATGTGGAGCCTTCAATGAATTGCGGGTTGCTTTGCTTGGTAATTTATTGTGTACTAGGACTTTTTAGATACGGAAGTTTTCAGCAAATTTTGTACAGATAATTGAACTAATATGAACTCTTCACAGGTTTTAAATTTCTTTATGGAGATTATTCAGTTTTTTGGCCTAGGGTAAGATGAGGCGTTGGGTTAAAGTTTCCATTTTTGAACCAATGGCAACTTAGAGACTGATTTTCATATTAGAAGTAAAAGAAAAGGGCCACCTAGAAACCTTTTTTTTGTTTTTTTTTTTTGTGGGGGGATGAAAATAGACTATGACTAATCGTCAAGGAGAGTTGTTCTAGATGTAGATAGGAAGACTCATGACGGAATGGTAACATGGGTGCCTTGTACATGGTATATGTGTTGCTGTTTAAGTAATTTGTGGTATTTCATAAACTCTGATGGGTTTTAATGATTTTTGTCGCCCTTTTTAGTCATTTGAACCTGGTTGTTTTTGCAATTTTTATTTCCGGGTTTCTTCATTTCATTCTACATGGTCCATTTTGGCAAATATGAATATGCAACCTTTTCCTTCAACACTTGATATTTGTTTAGGAGGAAATTGAGATAGAGTCCAAGGCATTACGAATCGGAAAGGCTATTGCTGTTGTCAGCGTGGAGCTGAGGAAGAGAAAGACGGGGAAAATAATTGCTCAAGGGCGTCATACAAAGTATTTGGCTGTTTCTAGTAAGCTGTGAACAACCTATTGTTGTGTTGCATACGGCGAAGTGTTCATTGGGATTACCTTTGCACTAGCAGTTCCTTATTCAAAACATGATGAGGTTCTCTGTGTAGGTAACAATGTTTTCTTTTTCTTTTTTGGAAAGATGTAATAATGTTTTCTACATCTGGATTACCCACCAAGCGCAAGAATGCATGTGAAAAAACTGTGGTATGGTTTGCTACATAAACGTAGCACTTTTATTGTTTGTGATGAAGCAGAACTGTGCCTATCGTATGTGATATATATACTAGTTATTTCTCGTGCCTGGAGGCACAGAGTAATAAAAATAATGGTTAATAATAAACATATGTGTATTTGCTAATGCCTAGAAAATCCAAAGGCTAAGCTCGGTTATTCAGATCAAGTCAGGAGCCCAATAACATAAAAAACTCAAGCTCCCTTAATTCGCACCTCAAAAGAAGCGGAGTAGAAGACAGTTGGCAACTACTAAGTTTTTCCTCAATGGAAATAGGCACCAGTCAAGGCNGCTAATGCCTAGAAAATCCAAAGGCTAAGCTCGGTTATTCAGATCAAGTCAGGAGCCCAATAACATAAAAAACTCAAGCTCCCTTAATTCGCACCTCAAAAGAAGCGGAGTAGAAGACAGCTGGCAACTACTAAGTTTTTCCTCAATGGAAATAGGCACCAGTCAAGGCACCAATTCACAATTCCCTCATCATTCTGCATAATTGCCAAACATATCAAGCAAAACGTTACACGAGGGAGGCAAAGAACATGCCTCAGATTCAGCTAAGTTTAAAATTTGTTATAAATATTGTACAAAGCCCTCTCTAGGGGGGTAGACAATAAGAGCTTTTATCTAACTATTGTGTAATTTCACTTTTTATAAATATATCTCTCTGGAGCAAGAAACTCTATTGAAGAGTGAATTAGTCGTATTTTCGAGCTTGTGAATCACTATAATTCTTCTGTGCAATTGACCTCATTCCCCTAAATTCTTGTTCCCTAGAGCCTTGAAACTCAGATTGAATTCTTCGGTGCATCTTGTATTCTCCGTTTTGCTCAATTGCGTTATACACATCATTAGTTAACATCGTCTATGGGAATGATTATTCCTCTTACAAATACTGATCCTCATCAGTAATTGATAGTTTCTACACGCAACATAAGCAAAAATCAAGTGAATCCCCCACGACTACAAAACCAGCAAGAAGCCACCAGCGGAAGACAACAAGAAAATCCTCACGATTTCCTGCCCACCATTGAAACTGATCCTCCCGTAGTGAATCCCCCTCCCAATAACGAGCTTGAGTCCCTTCGCCTAGCCAATAAACGTCTTCTCCAACAGAATGAGGAGTTGTTGAACCTCCTTTAGCATCCTCAAAGAGCGGAGTTAGCCCACGAAGATCTCCCTCATAGGAAACGACAACACAACAACTCCCTAAGAGATATCACCGAGGGAGATGAGCGCAGTCAAACTATGGGCAATGCCCATCGTAGAGTTCGTAGGAATGAGGAGAATGAGGAATGCAAAGTTGAAACAAGGAAGCTCGTAATGATGAGTTTTCCCTGTTTCAATAGGAATGAAAAGAACAGTATTGGGAATAGTGCTTCAGAGATGTACAACAAGAGCTTAGCCACATGAAGGAGGCTGTTAAAAGCAAAATTGTAGTATCCATGATGCCTTAGTGCAACAAATTGAGTCCCCTTTTATAGATGAAGTGTTGCACTTTCCCCTCCCTTCGAAGTTCAGAATGCCCTAGATAGGCCTTTGATGGGACAAAAGACCTCATGGACCACCTTAACACGTACAAAAATTAAATGGAGCTCCACGAATATCAAAACCCTATGCGATGCCGAGCATTCGCCATCATGTTAAAGGGCTCAGCTTTAGCAAGATTCAACAAGCTAACCCTAGCATTTATCTCATTTTTCAAAGAACTCTCCATATCCCAGATAATTTTTGGTATCATCAACACACACAGAGAAGAGAGAAATAAATTTAAGCACCAGTTATGGTGGGGATAAACGGTGGTAGTGGTGGTGGGAGGCAGTGGTGGGTCACAATAGTGATGGTGGTGGTGAATTTTGGATGACAATAGTAGTAATGGCAGTCCTGGGTGACGGCGATTATGGTGATGGGTGTGGGTGGTGGTGGGGCAACGACAATGGTGGGCAATGACAGTGTTGGTGGTAGGCGACGACGAGTGCTTCTGGGCGACAATATGATGAGTGTTGACGAATGACGATGGTAGTTGTGATGGTAGGTGTGGTGGGGGTGGGTGACAATGGATTGTGGCAGTAGTGGAAAATAACAGGTGGTAGTATGTTGTGGTAGTGTGGTGAAGGTAGGTGACAGTAGATGGCAGTAGTGGTGGGCGACGACAAGTGGTGGTGGGTGGTGGTAATGGGTGCTGACGGTGGTAATGGGATGATAGTGGTAGTAATAATAAATATAAGAATGAGATGATGATGGTAATAGGTGGTGGTAGTGGACGATAGTGGTAGTAATTGGTGGTGGGTGGTGGTGAGGATGTAGTGGGGGTGGTAGTGAGGGTGCAATGGGGCAATGGTGATGGTGGTGGGGTGGTGGCAGTGGTGATGGGTGTAGTGGTAGTAAGAGTGATGGTGGGATAGTGTCGGTGGTGACGGTGGTGGGGGTGGCAATGGCAGTGGTGATGAAGGTGGTGGTAATGGGGATGGTAATGGTGGGGCGGTGGTGGAGTGGTGACAGTGATGGTGGTAGTGGGGCAGTGAAGGTGGTGGTGGTGATTGTTGTGGCAGAAGTGTTGATGGGGTGGCGACAGTGGTGGAGTAGTAGGGGTGATGGTAGCGTTGGTAAGGTGGTGGCAGCGATGGTGGTAATGGGGTGACGACAGTGGTGGTAGTAATGATGATGGTGGTGGTGGTGGTAGTTGTTGTGGTAAAGGTGGTGGTGGAGTGACAGTGACAATGGTGCTGGTGCTAGTGGTAGTTGTTGTGGTGGGATGACAGTGATAGTGATAGTGGTGATGGTGGTAATGGATGTGGGGGTTAGGGTGGTAGTGGTGGTGATGGGGCGGTTGTAAACACAACTTTTTTTTAATGCATTTATGTAAAGTTAAAAGTTCTAGAAGCACTTTTAAAAGTCACCCAAACATTCTTTTAGGATTTATTTTTTCTATTAAATTTGGAGTGTTAATATTAGCAGTCGGATTAACTTTAAAATAAAATTTAAAGAGATCTTAATTGCAAAAAGTAAAGTCATTTTGTTTATTTTTTATATTTGAATTGTATTGTATTTTATTATATAGATATGTGAATATAAAAAGCATATATTAACAGTTTAATTTTTGATTAATAATTTAGGGTTAATCACAAATTATATCTCGAAAAATCTCTCAAATCTTAATTTGTATCCTCATAGATAAAAAATCTCAATTTATACCCTTAAAAATATAAATTTCTATCAATGCACATTTGAATATAACAGCAGTCAATTTACTATCTAAAATTAGTTGGGTAAGTTACACCTAGACCTTCTCAAGTTTATCATTTAATCATTTGGACCCCTTCATATTTAAAATATTATTCTTACACCTCATGACGTTTGTACACGTATAACACATAATCATTTGTCGTTGATATTTGTTAATATAACTGTTAAAAAAATATAATTTCATCCTAATAAAAAATTATAATTTTCATAATATCATTTATTGTGCAAGTTCGTTGTACTCTAAAATTCAAAATCAAGCTTATTATTTAAATATCTAATATAATGCATGTATTTATATAATGTTCCTTATATGTAATGTAATACATTACTTGAATATAATTATTTGGATGCGCAATTGGGGGAACTTTTTTAGTCATATTTGGACTCTCAAGAGATGTAGGTGTAATATTTTAAATATGAGGGGTCTAAGTAATTAAGTGACAAGTGTAAGAATCGAACACAAATGACAATTATATAATATTTGTCATAAGTATATTCACATGTGACATGCATGCGTATGATTAACGATTAGTACTTAATTACGTGTAATGATATGAGACTTGAACCTGAACGATGAATATTTTTATATTTCGAGATACTTTTATAAAGAATGATTATAAGGAGAATTGTTTTATTTAAAGTGTAAAAAATTAAATAAAAATGTTGACATGTGATATGACTTTATTATTTTATGTACGTTAGCGCATATAGAATTAATAGAGTGACAAGCATGTGATATAAATTTATTGTTATAAAATAATAATAATAAGAATGAAATAAAATGTATTAGTATATAAAAGGCGTGGTTAAGGGTCCAAGAGACGAATTTAATAGATTGTCAATAATTTAAATATATGTATGTACATGTTTATGTATAAATATGTACAAAAAAAAAAAGAGTACATACATATAATTGGCAAGACATGCAAGGCATGTCTTGAATGTAAAAAGAAAAGAAAAAAAAAAGTCTTGCACTTGGATATTTGGGCTAGATTAAGAGCCAAGAGGGAAAGAAGAAAAAAAAAAAAAAGAAGAGGAAGGAGAGGAACGAATAGGAAAGAAAAGAAAACAAAGAAAAATAAACAAGACTCTTCACTCACACTTGAGAAATTTTGGTTAAAGCAAGAAGGGAAAAAAGAGAAGCTTGAAAATAGAGCTTAATGGTGGGTTAAAAGTGGAAGATTGGTGGTGTTGCTTGGTGGTGTAGGAAGTGGGTATAAGAGGTAAGTCATGAAATCTATCTTCTCTCATTTTAAATATATATATATAAGAATTCTTAGTGCATATATATTGGGTATTGCATGTAATCTAAGAATCTTAAGGATCTAGAACAATTATGCTAGATGCTCAATGTGGAGCTCTGCCTTCAGGGATTTTACCAACATATCATCGATATGGACCTCCATGGATGTCCCAATTTGCTTTTGAAACATTCAATTCACCAGGTGCTGGTAGGTGGTCCTAGCGTTCTTCAACCCAAAAGGCATGACCTGATAGCAATATGTTCCCTGCTCAATCACAAAGGAGGTCTTCTCCTAGTCAGTTGGATTCATCCTGATCTGATTATAGCCTGAGAAAGCGTCCATGAAGCTGAGGAGCTCGTGTCCGGCGGTGGCATCCACTATTAAGTCGATTCAAGATAAGGAAAAGTTGTCCTTGGGACATGCTCGGTTAAGGTCAATGAAGTCAATGCAGAGTCGCCACTTGCCATTGGTCTTCTTGACAAGAACCACATTGGCTAACTAGGTAGGGTAGTCTATTTCCCTGATGGTTTTGGCGTGGAGAAGTTTGCTGACCTCCTCATTAATTGCCTTCTGACATTCTGGGGCAAAACTTCTTCACTTCTA